TTCCAAACCAAAACAAAATGAAAATGTTGAAAAAAGGCAGGGGAAAAAAAAAAAAAGTAAAAAAAGGAAAAAAAAAAAAAAAAAAAAATCGGCCCAGCTTTTTGGTTCAAGCCCCCCCACAATTTAAAAACTTAAATCAAATGCCCCCATTCGAAAACCCCCCCCTCCCCCCCCCCCCCCCCCCCCCACCCCGCCGTTACATATCACTGGCGCTGTCAATCGAGTTCTCTAACCGAATAATTATACAACTTCCTTTTTTTTGTTGTTATTTTCTGTCGATGGAATTTATCGCCGAGTTGCCCTATAAAAGTCCACGACTTAGTGGGTGCTTCCACACATTTTCCTTTCTTAATATAATATTGAAAACCATTTGAGATCCGACGACGGCGACGGTTACGAGATCGTCAAAAACGTATAATACGGTTAACATTAAGAACAACTTTGCACGTACACTCCTTTTTTGTACATTTTTTTTACCGTCACTGCATATCTGCGACGTGAAAATGCCTAATTTCATGTTGTACCACGAAATTTTCTTATTCTTTCCGAACGTGCATATGGATCTTTGGAATTCAACCCTACGAGAGCTCCCTAGATTTGACAAAGTAAGCTCAGTTAATCACGATAAAGATGGAAAGAACGTAATTTCACTTTTTGAGCGGGACGTATTCGCCACCATCGCGATCGTCGGATTTAAGGTGCCGTTTTATACCCTGTATTTACGTGTGGCATAATATTAAGTCCCAATTAACACTTCTTAAAAATTTTGTTTCGTACAAAAAAAAAAAAGAATGCTTGACTATTGACTAGACAGAAAACACTACGCTGCAAAGTTTTCAGTTTTAACCCTGAAATATATTTCAGACAAAGAGCATGTCGTGTTTCTGTCGACGTATAATTTCTCTTCAGTGTCAGATCAAGCAATCGCAAGGAGACATGAGACTGGAAATATACTCTTACCTGGAGTACCGACGCTTTCTTCCTTCCCAATTTTACAGCAGACAAATAAAACACTTGTCTCTCTTCTTTCATTCAAAGATAGACTGATAGATACAGTAAAATTTTGCTTTCAAAATAGGAAGTTAAAAAATATGCAGGTGCTGTTAATTACACGGCGTTCAGCTATAGATCCTGGACAGTTAAGTGAGGTGCAATATGTCTACATGCACGTTATTGACAAATAGCCCATAACGTTTCCACAATCAACTTTTTCTCGTTACTCATAAATTACCATCCATTCCTTTTAAATATTCAACATCCATTGAACAACAGGTAACAACTTACATATTACATATCACTGGCAACTGGTAGGTTATTAGTGTTCAGACAGATGAACAGCCGTGGAGTAAACGGAAGTAATATGTACGTCACAAACTTTTCAGGACCCTTTCAGGTCTCATAGGCGACGGTAGCATAGTCTGTTCCAGGCGTTCAGATAGTGGAGTGACTGTGGGGCGCAAATTGACAGGAACACCCAACAACGGTTTCCTCTTAAATACGTGGGAAACAATTTTTAGGTTATCCAATTGAAAGTCTTTTTAGATCTCTACAAATGCATCTCTAAGCGGCGCTACAAAATTTTTATCTGTTCGGTCATCCTAAGGGAACTTTAAAAAGTAAATAGAATACAAGAAAAATTTGGATCTTTACGTTTTTGGGTGTGGTAATTCTAAAATGTAAAGTTTTCGAAAATTATGGGCGTGGCTGTTCATGTGACAAAAAATGTAGTGTAACCACCAAAAAACCCCTTTTACCCAGGCACAGTTATAATTGACGTTAAATGGTGTGCGAAAAAGAACGAGAAAACAAACGATAAAAGCCAAACATCAAGGTGGAGCCTAACCTGCCTAAAATTTAAAGGCGTAAAGCTATGTGAATCCATTCCTTACTTTACATGAGAGAGCTCTAACGCCGGTCATTTTAGAGTTTTAGCGTCATAATCTGGGATCAAATTTTACCTTTGCTCTGGTCTTACCTAGTACGATCGGAGCTTTCCCATTATTTTCAATGTCGAGTTCCCCACGGGAACAACCAACCTTCCGGTCTCTTGCAGATAAAATATTTATTTTCCTTGCAACATTTGGAGAGATTTTCCGGCCACTTTTCAAGATTTCGACGCATTTATTTTCATAAACAATTCACGACATGTTGCCGAGCCGTTGGACGGAAACAGAAATGTTAAACGATTCTCCATTGTTCCATACATATCCACCCTTTTGATGCCGATACGCCAACCCAATCCAGACAGAAGTGCGTTTTGCGTCCTTGAAAGCCATGTCATGGACAAACTTGATTTCCTTTTCATTTGATATGCTTACCAGGTCTCCTCCAAACCCCAAACACCCGCTTAAAGCTGTTGACCAGCCAAATTTCCGCGGTAAACCGAGCCTATCGATAACCTTGTAGCCAAAGCCTTCAAATTCGCTCCACTCTTCACGGCATTTCGAAGCTAAAAAAGATCAAATTGGGCACCTTTGATTCTTGTGACTTAACGATAATGAACAATGCAATTATTGGATGAGGTTGATCAAGGTCGTTGTAAGTGTTACAAGCCGTGGCTGAAGGCGGAAGATGATAACGCTTGCCGTGCCCTGGGCCGGTCGTGGGCTTCTAGATGCGCCCGCGTCTATAACTTCCCACTCGAGACATTCATGGCTGCTCCTAAAAAATTCAAAAAATTTTCATCCTAAAATTTACATCGACCATAGCTCTCGAAGACCAAATAGCGCACAAGAAATCTCTCAGTTATTATGAAATTAACAATTGAAAATGTTATAAATCAAATGGACATACTTACCAGAATAACGCCTTGTTACCGCCGAAAGGAGTGACACGAACAGTGCGAGTGTTATCATTATGGCATCAGATCTGGGAAGGAGTTAAAGTTTAGGGACCAGTCATTATTTATCGCCCAGGGGGAGGGGAGGGGGGTGGTCGGAGGATTTTTTGGTGGGTCACTTGACTTTTTAGGAGAACAGAACGGGGGATCATTCTTAAATGAGAACCCAAGGGGGGATCATTGAAAAGAATTTAGAAGAATTCAATTAAAGGGATCACTCAAATCCACTTGGACANAAAATTTACATCGACCATAGCTCTCGAAGACCAAATAGCGCACAAGAAATCTCTCAGTTATTATGAAATTAACAATTGAAAATGTTATAAATCAAATGGACATACTTACCAGAATAACGCCTTGTTACCGCCGAAAGGAGTGACACGAACAGTGCGAGTGTTATCATTATGGCATCAGATCTGGGAAGGAGTTAAAGTTTAGGGACCAGTCATTATTTATCGCCCAGGGGGAGGGGAGGGGGGTGGTCGGAGGATTTTTTGGTGGGTCACTTGACTTTTTAGGAGAACAGAACGGGGGATCATTCTTAAATGAGAACCCAAGGGGGGATCATTGAAAAGAATTTAGAAGAATTCAATTAAAGGGATCACTCAAATCCACTTGGACAATGCCAGTTTGAAAGCATGTAAGATAAATGCGACCATTCTAATGGGAGATAAGTGTCTGGGGTCTCAGCGCGATAAATAATGACTGGTCCCTTACAGAAACATTTCCTCCATTAATAATAAAAAAATTGTTACCCCAGGAGCCCACCTAGTCTCCCTCGCAGCTGTTTTTGGAAGCGGCATACTAGCTCATACTGGGAGAACACTGTTTACAAGCTTTTTTGATCTCGTATTCTTCTAACAACCCAAATGGGTTCTTTCGCCGGTTAACCAACAGAAAGTCTATTCCTTGTATATACATAGTTTTTTCAGGCAAAAATAGGGTTCATTATCATGTCATAATGATCAAGTTGGGTCTTCTATTTACATTTATCAGTTTAGGCGCGTATAATGGCCTGTCATGGAAGTGGTCGTATTCAATTCTCGTGCAAATACTTCTAACATGCACGGGGCAAGATGACAAAGGGAAAAGATGGAAAGAAAGATAGAAACAAAAATCGTCACAGCCCTGATGTTTAGACACTCAGGCAATTTAAAACTTGGATCAAATGCCAGGGTTCGAATAAACTCCCTCCCCCTTGCCTCCCCCTCGCCTCCCCCTTCCCTCCCCTCCCCCGCTGCCTATCCCTGGTTCTGTAAATCAGGGGGATGTCCCTAACAAACAGGATATGTGACTTTCTTAATGTTTTGTTTTTCTGTCGATGGACTTTATCGCCGAGTTACCCTATAAACGTCTACGACTTAGTGGGTGCTTCCACACAGTTTTCTGTTTCACTATAATCATTGAGGACCGTTTTAGACGGCGGTGACAGTAACAAGAACGTCAAACAAACAATAGGGTTGATAAAAGTAGGTTGAGTTTGATCGTCCGTGTGAACGTAGTCCTGAATAGAACTGTTGTTGTTGACAGTGACCGACGTTTCGACAACCTGTGCGGTCGTCATCTTCAGAGTCAAAGTGAGTTGTATCACGTCAGTTGGTGGTATTATACGCGGGTTATTGATCTGATTGGTCAATTACGTCGCGATGTTATTGGTCGTCTGTCACTTTTTTCAAAAAAATGCGGTTTTAAATATATGCCGGTATCTCAAAGGTTTTTATATCTACAACAAAACAAATGACATTTTATTCAAGTTCCATCATTATTTATTTGGTATGCCAAAAATCATAGAAATCGGTTTTATTCAGAAAAACGTAAGTCGAAAACATAACCAGCAGGCATATAAATAGGTTCGGGCCACCTTTATGCCGAAGAATATGATCTTAACTCAGTTTTCCCCCCTTAGCTATTGAGACTGATGGGTACGGTAAAATTTTGTTTCAAAATATGCAGGTGCTGTTAATTACACGGCTGCCAACAGCTGGACAGTTGAATGAGGTGCAATTTGTCTACATGCACGTTATTGACAAATAGCCCATAACGTTTTATAAAGTCTTTCTTTTACTTCTTTACTCATAAATTACCATTCGTTCCTTCTAAATATTCAACATCCATTGAACAACAGATCACAACTTACATATTACAAATAACTGGCAACTGGTCGGTTATTAGTGTTGCAGACACATGAACAACCGTGGAGAAAACGGAAGGTAATACGTACGTCACAAACTTTTCAGGACCCACAGCCGGCGGAAGCATAACCTGTTTCAGGCGTTGAGATAGTGGAGTGGGGAGCAAATTAGGGACCTTAAGCAACGACGCCGACGGCGGCGGCCGTGAAAACATCACTAAAAAATGAATTTGCGTCCTTTCAAACTTTATCGCATCAATTTGGAACCGCCGAATTCGTCAAATAAGTAAAAAAATATTGCATAGGAAGTGTTTCATTATTAGAACGGGCTACGGTCAAGCAAGCTAATTAATAACACTTTAATGTGAGCTTTGT